TACCTCATATAACTATATAAATAATAATACAGATAGAGCCTCAGGCGGCACATCCATACTAATTAATAACAAGATCCCTCAACGCAGAATAGATCTTGACACAAATCTTCAAGCTGTAGCTGCATCAGCCACTTTACATCGTACCATAACAGTATGCTCTATATACATACCCCCACATGATCAGGTTATCGACACGAATTAGAGCAACTGTTGCAGCAACTCCCTAGGCCATTCATTTTATTGGGTGACTTTAACAGTCACAACATCATATGGGGATGCAAAGAAATAAACAAAAAGGTAAAATCCTGGAAAGGATTGTTAACTTAAAACGATCTATGCATACTCAACACGGGCACTCAAACACATATAAACCAATTTAGTGGGAATACCTCTGCCATTGATTTAACCATATGTGACCCATCTATCTATATGGACTACACTTGGCAAGTACATGATGATACTTGTGGTAGTGATCACTTCCCAATACTTCTAAATAACACAAAGCCTAATGGGAAAAAAAATGCCCCGTTGGAAACTAGACAAAGCTAACTGGGAAAAATTTGAAGAAAATGCAAAGAAAAACTAATACACAAAGAGTCAAACAATGACACAATAGAGTATTTCACTGAAACACTGAACTCTATAGCAGTAGACAGTGTTCCCAAGACTACAACTCCAAATAAACGAAACAGACCCTGGTTCAACAACAAATGCCAAGAAGCAATTAAACTGTGAAAAGAAGCACTAAAAAATTCCAAAAAGAACCAATAACATCAATCTGATGGAATACAAATCAAACAGAGCAAAAGGCACGAAAAGAGATAAAAGCAGCAAAAAAGAGAATGCTGGCAGAATTATGTCAGCAAATTGAATTGCTCAACTAAACCAAAAGGCAATTTGGGAAATGATTAAGAAAATTATGGGCAAAAAGAAATAACACCAATAAAACACCTCTCAAAAGACAACTCCATAATAACAGATAAAAAGCTATAACAGAATTGCTAGCTGAAACCTTTGCCAAAAAAACTCATCCAGTCTGAATGGTACAAAAGAATTCATAACCATCAAAGAAGATGCAGAAAAATGTAAACTAAATTTTAAATCAAAAAATCTTGAAGATTATAATAGTTTATTGACACTAAGAGAATTGAAAGACTCTATAAAAAAAATCCCATAATTCTGCTGTAGGCCGGATGAAATCCACTATGAGTTTTTAAAAAATTACTAGAAGAATCACTAAAATTCCTTTTAAAAATATTTAACAAAATATGGACAGAAGGAAGGTTCCCAGATATATGGAGAGAGACAACAATGATACCAATTCCCAAACCAAAAAGAGATGGCTTGGACCCACAAAACTATCGACCTATCTCTTTAACCAGTTGCTTGTGTAAAACAATGGAAAGGATAATAAACAACAGGTTGATTTGGCATTTGGAATCAAACAATCTTATTTCCAACTTACAATGTGGGCCTCCATAGTAAAAGAGGCACAATAGACCACTTAATACGCCTTGAAACAAATATTAGAGAAGCATTTATCAAAAAGGAACACCTTACAGCTATATTTTTTCGATCTAGAAAAGGCTTATGATCTGACGTGGAAATATGGAGTAATGAGGGACTTGAGTAACCTGGGTATAAAGGGTAGATTGCCACAGTTTATTGATGGATTCTTATCTGAAAGAAAATTCAGAGTTCGTGTCGACTCTACACTTTCAGATGTGAAAAATCAGGAAGAGGGTGTCCCACAAGGCAGTATATTATCCGTAACACTATTTAACATAAAAATAAACACTATAATCAAGGAAATACCACCAGGAACCGATGGATCACTATATGTGGATGACCTTATGATATGTTATAAATCAAAATATATCCACACAATCGAGCGAAAACTGCAACAGGGTCTAAATAAAATCAGCAGATGGGCAACAACAAATGGATTCAAGTTCTCTAAAACAAAAACAAAATGTGTCTATTTTTGTCACAAAAGGAAACTCCATAATGACCCTAGGCTGAAACTTGACGGTTCAGAGATCCCAGTTGTAGATGAATACAAGTTTCTGGGGTAATATTTGACAAAAACTAACATTTATTCCCCACCTGAAATACTTAAAAACCAAATGTAACAAAACATTACAACTACTGCGGCGTGGTAGCCCACACAAAATGGGGAGCAGATCGAAACACTCTGTTATTATTGTATAGATCCCTAATTAGATCAAAATTGGATTACAGTATTTTTTATATACCGTTCAGCCAGAAAATCCTATTTAAAAATGCTTGACCCGATCTACCATGGAGGTTTGAGGTTAGTACTCGGAGCCTTTAGAACGTCTCCAGTCGAGCCTATATGCTGAGGCTAACGAAGCACCTGCAAATAGTAGAAGCCATAAACTGGCCCTCCAGTACTATGTCAAATTAGGGTCATGCCCAGCAAATCCTGCGTACAATAGTACCTTCTATCAAAATACAAAAGAATTATTCCAAAGGAATGAAAAAAGCCATAAAACCCTTTGGACTTCGGATGGAAACAATTATAGAAGAAGCAGATGTAGATTTGACAAAATCCATAAAACAATCATACCAGATATCCCACCTTGGACCATAAGAACCCCAAACATAAACTTAACCCTCTGTAAATACTTCAAAAAATAAAACCCCCCACTAATTTTCCAAGAGGAATTAGAAAGTTAAGGAGAGATATCCTAGGCACTCACATGTCTTCACAGATGGATCTAAAGTAGGAAAAATAACAGGATGTGCCTTAATATATAATAGAAAAATATTTAAAAACATCTCCCCAAATGACACCTCTATATTCAGTGCAGAAGTTTGCAATTAACATGGCTCTTAACCTCATCTCAGAATCAAGGAACAACAAGTTCATTATCTTTTCTGATTCACTATCAGTATTAGAATCACTAAAAACAGGAAGTTTGATAATCCATTGATAGTGAAAATACTATGTAAATTAGAACACCTATCAAATGATAATGATATACAGATATGTTGGGTCCCAGGTCACACTGGGAATCGGTGGAAATGACCAGGCAGATAAAGCAGCCAGGTCTACTCTAAATATGACCATAGAAAAAAATTTCAAAAATACCATATACAGACCTTAAAATGAAGATAAATAAATACATACTGCAACAAAGACAACAACGCTGGAACAGCAATAGTAATAATAAATTACTAAAAATTAAACCTGAATTGGGAGAATGGAAACAGAGCTATAGGAAAAATAGAAAAGAGGAAGTGATATTGTCCAGACTTGAATAGGCCATACAAGGACAACACATTCCTACTTACTTGAAGCAAAGCAACAACCAATGTGTTATGCATGCCAGACCGCATACACAGTGAAACACATTCTCATTGAATGTACTGACCTAGCCCATATAAGAGAAACGCTTTATAGTGCAAATAACATGAAGGAACTGTTCCAAAAAACTGACATGGATAACATAATATCGTTCCTGAAAGCAGTCAATTTGTACCAAAAAATCTAAAAACATAAAAAAGTTGGGAGTTTTCTGCAAACTTTTTGCTGCAAGGAATATTTTCAACAAAATCTGATTCTTTCTGCATACCATTTTTCAAAAAAGGAAGAAACTTCCCTACGATACAATTCTCTACAAAAAATTTTTTTGACAGAACCAGATTTTTTCTACAAACCATTTCATTTCTAAAAACCTTTTCAGCATGGCAAACCTCTCCGTTTGTGGAAATGGAAGGGTCTATTATATTGGAAAATAATATTCCAATAATAACCTGATTTGACATTAAATGACTGAGGAGGTCGATATGTCCTAAAAAACAAACAAACAAACAATCACTTCAGCAAAATTTTCAGATTTCTACCAGCAAAAATCAAACATATATGCACACCACCATTCTATCCATAATTGAATGGACAAGTTGAGTGATTTGTGGATACCTTTAAGAGGGAAGGGTATGGTAACTGAAATATTGAAGATGTTCCTAACAAGTTACAGAGCCACCCCAAATGATAGTTCACCTGCCAAGGCTCTGATAAACCACAAAATTTATTTATATGTAAACATCGTATGTCCAAGTGTACAAGGTACTCCCAAGAGAAAAAGATGGCAGTAGAACAGAAATTCAGCTGCCATCATAGTCCAGTAAGTCATACTTTCAAACTGGGCCAACAGGTTTTACCAAAAGACTACTAATATGGCACAGCGAAGTGGACACAAGGTTGCATTTGGAAACATCACTTACGATGTCAGCATGCAATTTTCCATTTGGGTACGGCATGCAAACCAACTATGTTTTTCTAAACTTTCAATATCCACAAACCAAAGGTCAGATCTTCCACTCAACATTTCATAGAATACTTTTGATCTACCTTTGGGAAATGTTGCAATGTCCACACAAAACAGCAGAAGCATGGAACCTTGACCTTGAGGGATGAAAACTAGAAAGTCTGTTCGTCTGATATTCCAAGAGCTGGCTACAAGTAAACCATCAACACAAAACTTACCATCACACAAAATAGGGGAGGTGTTAGGGACAGAAGTGAAATAATCCTCTCAGTAAAAAGGTGCAGTTGCTCCAAGGTACACAGTAAAAGCATGTCATTAGAACAGGTGAAACAATATTCTTGCAATGATAATGACTCTTCTTAAAATGATAGAAGGTATCTTAAACAAAAAGAATGAGATCAATAGTCTGAAGAACTCTTGACTCTTCTCAAAAATGATAATGATCTCTACAAAAGAATGAGATCAATAGTCTGAAGAACTCTTGCAATGATAATGACTCTTCTCAAAATGATAGAAGGTATCTCATACAAAAAGAATGAGATCAATAGTCTGAAGAACTCTTGCAATGATAATGACTCTTCTCAAAATGCTAGAAGGTATCTCATACAAAAAGAATGAGATCAATAGTCTGAACTACTCTTGCAATGATAATGACTCTTCTTAAAATTAAAGATATTATGGTTTATCCCTTTATTTATATTTCAGAAAGGATCGTTTACAGTCTGAATTTACCTTCCACAATGAGAAGGTTGGAGGAAATGCTTCTGATAACCAGTCTTTATGGAAAACTCAGTTAGAACAATTTAAAAACATCAGCAATGATATTTCCAGTGCCATTGTCAGTCATTATCCTTCACCAAAGTCTTTAGTCGAGGTAAGTGTTTCTTTTTTGTTTTTTTCTCAATTGATGCAAACAACCATTGAAATGTTAGCCCCAGGCCTTCACATTAACTTTTTTTGCCATTCTCCCAAAGAATAGCTTTAATAGTCCTGAAAATAATGTAAATCCTCCCAAAAGAAAGTGTTTTTAATTTTATCATTTATAGTTGTTTGCTGCATTATAAAAACACCATTCATTCAAATCTCTTTAACCAAAAATTGAACACAAGGTAGATAACTGCAAAGAGCCTTGTCTTGACCAAAACATGCTAGTCATTCTGCCGCTCATCTGTGCGGATCACCTATTATTCAGGTTTTTGATCTTGCATACAAATTACTCATAGCTTTTAAAAGGCTAGAATCACACAATCACTTTGGTGTGGCTTCCCTTTGTCTTGTCTATATATATTTTTATGGTAATTATTCTAATGAGCTTTCCTCTTTTGTATCTTGACCTTGTGAATTGAAGTATACTACTAGATTGGCAGCTAGGTCTCATCATTTTACTGTTGGAATAAATGTAATACTGATTTCTATTCTAACAGTTTCTTCTCTCACCTACGTAACATTCATCTGGCTTCTTGCTTTCATAAAAAATCAATCGCCATCTTCTGAATTTCTGAACTCTGTTCTTTTATTGTTCTTTCTTCTCACTAATATTTTGTGTCTTAGTGGCATTGTTGCCTTGCTTGGGGAAAAATGATTAAAAAAAAAAAAAAACATCCCAAAATCACTTTATCATTTATAATTGTAGAATTATAAAAACACCATTAAAATGTTTAAGAAACAAATATTTATTTTGGTCCATTCAATCTTGAAACTGTGGCCTTCATGCCCTGAAGCCACTGCTCTACCTGACTTGGTCAGTACTTTCCCAGGCTCATATTACTGAGCAGGAGGGTCATGTTCATTTGAGCTTTTTAACCAAAAATTGAACATTGTAGATGGCCACAAAATCCTCGGCCTTGTTTCAGTGCATAAAACATTATTGCACTTATGTAGCAGTTTATAATGTTTTTGTTATAATTGTTAAAAAATAATTAATCCAAATATATAAATAAATTTTGCTGCCTTCATTCAAATCCAAAGAATCTGCAATATTATCAATCCTGACCTGGCATCTCAACTTCAGTCACTTTCCCACAGACATAATGTGGCTTCCCTCTGTCTTGTCTATAAATATTTTTATGGTAATTATTTTAATGAGCTTTCCTCTTTTGTACATTGACCTTGTGAATTGAAGTATACTACCAGATTGGCAGCTAGGTCTCATCATTTTACTGTTGGAATAAATGTAATACTAATTTCTATTCTAACAGTTTCTTCTCTCACACTTCTCGTCTACGTAACATTCATCTGGTTTCTTGCTTTCATAAAAAAATCAATCGCCATCTTCTGAATTTCTGAACTCTGTTCTTTTATTGTTCTGTCTTCTTGATAATAATCTATTTCTTCAGCTCTAGATTAAATATGGTAGCCAGGGTTGTCAGGTAGTCTAGGAGAAGAATGGCCTTGAATATCAAGCCGTGGAGACCATCCAACATTCAAGGACATTAAAAAAAAAAAAAAAAATGGATATCAAGATTGAGTTTCTGTTAATTCACAATTCTAAATCTAGTCTCAAAACTGCTCAAAGAATTTTGGAATTAGGAGGAAATAAAGCAATATCTAATCCTATTGCTGCAGACTAAGCCGTTTTTAAGATAAGGATTTGTCCCATGAAATAAACCCAGAATTTGATGGCCAATAGTTGATCATAATGCAAGGTAGAGAACTTGACTACCAGCAATTGAAAACCTTCATAAGAATGAACCTTAAAAAAAACACACAGAAGCTCTTCACAAGTTACTCATGGTTATATAAAAAAAAGAAACAATGAAAATACTTTTGGTACACTGTAAGGATTTATAGAGAAATGAAAATGTTTATTCTTAGAATTACAGACAGAATTTGTTAGTCATGACTACTTAAGGAAGCAGGTTCATTTCAAGTTTCTTTAAACCTAATTTAAATTTATTTTTGTTTTCCAGGCTTATAAAAAGTGTTCAAATGAAAAGGAATGCATCAAATTACTTGAAAACATTATGGTAAATATAAATTTTGATTATACATATAATAGCTCTATTCTATCAGTAATGCTTGCCTTCATTCCTGACCACTGACAATCCCTTCCTCATTTTCAGTGCATTCTTATAGGTACCTCCACTAATTAAAAAAAAACAAAAAAAAACATATATATATATATATTTAAATTTGAAATAATGCATAAATCTATTTTTAGAACAAAACAGTAGCTGTTCTACAGAGAATTTATCTCTTAAGACATAATTTAAGAAAATGATGTGAGCCTCTTTCTTTTTTTTTTTTTTTCTAAATATAATTTTTAAGTATTCAATAATCTTTATTAGGAATATTAACTTTAAATTTACTATAGTCATCATTCTTATTTTCTGGTAATATCGTGTATGGTTGACCATACTTTCAAAAATGGGCACATTACATAATATATATATATATATAAGAAAATTAAAAATTATTTTAAAAATCTTGCTACAAAATGATTTGTATTAAGCTTTTCAATTTCTGATTAGTAAATATAGTTTTCACTTAATAACAATATCACCTAACAGGATGAAAGTAGTGTAGAATTATAAATTATTATAATTAAAATTGTTTTTTGAGGAAAATATAATTACATGAAATTAAATTAATTAAGTCAGACGTAACAAATATTTGTGAATGAGTCCCGAAGGTTTCATTAAAATCCAACATTCTGATTTAGAAATTCTTGTAAAAAAAAAAAAAAATCATCAATGTCTTTTCCTCCCTTGGGAAAAATAAATAAATAAATAAATGCGCTAAAATACTACTTGTAAATATTATGTTGATCAGTGATGTGAAAAGAAACCAAAATCTCAAATTTTGATGATAAAACTTTATTAAGTTTGGGGCCTTTTTTCCATCATGTTATGCATTTTATTTATTTATTTTTTTTTTCCTGTAAAAAAAAAAAAAAAAAAAAAATGGGGGCTACATACATTCCTATGGTAAAATTATTAGAGCCCTATTCTATTAGTAATGCTAGCCTCCATTCCTGACCACTGACAATCCCTTTCTTCTTCATTTTCTATTCATGTTCTGTCCTCACTCTAGGATGTATTCTATTATGGTTAGGCAAATCTTATCTTACTTGTGAAATCTTCTTACCCTATTTTCAAACCAATTTTTGTTTACCAGGTGCGTAGAAAAGCAGGTATCTTGGAGACAAGTCGACGTGTGGGTAAAGAGGCTTCACGAAGAATCTATCTGCTAATGACGACAACCAATGCGGATTTGGTTCTCAAATGAAAACATGGACCTGAATACATGATCTTGACTAATATTAATATCCTGATGTTGTCAGGCAATTACCAAAGGAAAGGAGAAAAACAAAAAACTGAATATTAGATTTGGTTGTCCATCTTAAATGCCAGGTTGATTATTCTCATTACCACAATCTGTCTTGTTAAATGCTTTTCCAACACTAAAACAAAAAACGTAGAAGTCAATACATGAAATTCTTCAACAAGTTTCTGTTCAACTCATTTGATCTAAATAGAATAGAGCTGGAATATTAAAACAGACACATATACAAGCATATTTTAATAAATGAATTTGTAAGATGACCTGGTGATGCCCAGGAGAAAGCGAATATTGCACTTATTCCACATATTTACTTTTGGTATATTGTTTTATTTTCTTGAATAAATTCCTCGAAAGCGACTATTCTTCTTACACATTGGTTTGTCAATTATTGTATATTTACACTTGTGCCTCAGAGTTCACTTATAGATATGTTTTGACTTAATAACCAAAAGTGAAGAACTATCAAGTGCCCATTGATTAGCCGATATGTGTTGATTGTGATCACATGATTAGAGGCGACTGATTGTCTGTTATAATATTTATATATCAACCAATGAGTATAATGGTAATTATTCCTCTCTGGAAATAAAAAAAATAAAAAAATATATATTTTTATCTTCCTCCTCTTGGTTGTTATAGTCAGATTACCTGCTGATATGTATCCAACGACCTGTTATTTTATCTTCATGATGTCACTTGTGCTCAGGAAACACTTCGTCCCCATAATGGCTATAATCTGAAAAGATTAAAAAAAAAAATGCATCTCAGAAAATTGGGGGTGGGGGGTTATAATCAGTGCAGCTCAGAGGTCCTCAAGGTTAGAGATATATTTTGATGCATATCTTCATGTTTTTACACACAAGGCATCTAAGAAAAAAAAATTTTTTTTTTATTATAATGAAAGGTCTCCCAAATCTCCCCCGAAGAATGAAAAAAAAAAAAAAAAAAAAAACCTTATAAACTCAGGGGAGAACAAAGCTAGACTCAACGTCAGTCAGGCTAGCCTTTAAAATTAACCTAAAGGTCAGGAGTTCAATCCCTTGGTTAAGGCAGTTGCAATCCAGCAGAATAAGATTTACTGAACACAACAAAGACCAATGATTTTTTGATTAATAAATGACAAGAAAGAATAGGGGGGCAAAATAAAGTTTTCTTTTTTTTTTTTTTTTTATTAACACTAATGAAAAAGAAACCTGAAACTATTAGAAAAGCAACGGCAAGAACTTGTAAACAGAAGATTCTCCAACTGATAATAAACATTGCATCGGAATGTAATATAAAAAGACTCAGAATTATATAGAATAGAGTTGCATTTGTTTTTCCATTTCACTATCTGTCAAACCAAATTTGTCCCCCTGAGATTTCATCAGGTCAAACATTTCCTGGAGTTGTTTTTTTTGAATGGCTTTCTCCTCTTCAAGTTCTTCTTGTGTTAATTGGCTCTTGATGTTCTTAATAGCCGCTCGTTGTCTGGCCTTTTTCACTTCACTGGGAATGTGATGGTAATATTGCACAGGGTCAGGAGGCTCTCTCCTCTCCTCATCGGACTCGGACAGCTCTTGGTCTGAAAGAACAAAGAATATCAAGATGCTTAGAGAGAGAGAAAAAAAAAAAAAAAAAAAAAATTAAAAGGAAACATTGCTCATGGTTGACACTCAAAATTATCTCCCTTGCATATTATCCATTATATGTCAGTGGTAAGGCCATTGACCAATAACAACCATTTAGAATAAAAAGATGGATTTAACAGAAACATTAAATTAGAAATAGTTTTATTTAATGGGATACACTGGTGGATAGCAGCTTGGAATGAGAAATTGAAGAGTTGAGTTCATTACGTTCATTTATGTGCAAATACCTGTGGGAAAAGGTAGGAATACCTACCTTATCCCTCTAACAAACTGGGTTCTTTTGCCATGTTTGGTGACCATTTTAGGGAAAGGACAACTCTGAATTTGAAACTAATGACTAAATCATGGGTTGCCCTTTGGCAAGGCGTAACACCCAGAAGCTACCCCTGCCAGGATTAGAGTGAAGACACCAGCAGCAGGATTTAACAGACCAGATTTGGTATTGAATTGCAATTGTCATGCAAAAAAAAGATCCTTCATACTGGACAATGGTGGAAACCTAATTATTCAGAGTTACAAACTGTAGGAACAGAGTGAAGTGCCTTCTAATATATGTGCAACCAAAACTAATATGGATAAACACATGTAAACATCAATCACTAGGGAGAAGCAAGAATGACCTAGTTAGCTTATCAACCTTATGGACATGATGATGTGCAAGTGTTTGATCGTAAATTATAAATGCTAACCATCAGAATCAAGTTTCCTTTGCCTAACAATCAATGCATGAGTTTGGGTTGTAAAAAGATGCCAAGTAAAAGAGCCACTGTTTAATCCAAACAGCTGTTTATCTAAACTCATCTTAAAAAAAACAGAAAACCCTGCAAAATCAAGTATATTGCACTTCATTTATTTGGGTCACAAAGTTAGTTAAGTGAAGAGCCAGCGGAAACAAAGCCTTGTTCCATAACCAACCTTATTAATCTGACAGGATATCCCGTGTATCATTCAGTTCTAGGCAATGGCAGATTTAGACAAGAAATGAGACAGTTTCAAGTCTCTCACCATCAGCAAATCTCAGAATTTTAGAGGATGGCTTTTTAAAACTTGTTATCTTTTCTAACGAGGGACCTCATCAAATTGAGATCAGGAAACCCAGAGCCTTACCATCCACACATGTCTCAAAACATTTCAGAATATGGGGAGCAACTTGAAATTTGTGATTATTTTTTTGTTCAACAAATTGAGATCAGGAACTAAGACATGTAGCTGTTTAACATTCCAAACCATTAAAAATCTAATTTGACTAATCCTGAAATAAACATTTACAGATTATTTTCTTGCATATCATGACTACTTAATAAAGACAATCCATTATATTTTCTTGATACCAGAAGTGATTTTGTTCATATACAGTTTCTCCAAAGATTACATTTAAAACGATGTCTATAAACATGAACAATGATCAGTGTTCAGTATTTTATTAAATCTGTAACAGGAAGAAAACATTTTCTAAAATTTAATTTTTTAACTGAAGTTTACCTTAAAAAAAATATTACCAAAATCTACAAAAATTTACCAAATTTATTAACAGAAGAAAATCATTTACATTTCTTATTTCAAACACCTGCTTACAATGCTGACTAATTGCCCAGGGTTAGGAGTTCAATCCACACAAGTTCCTTACAATGATGGCCTTCTACCAAACAAATTTTATAGCAAATGACTATAATTTAAAAATGAAAATTGTATTTCATGGTTTCTCTGCACAACCATGGTGTAAGCGTTCTGAAAGCAAAGGAAGTAGTTGTCGCAGATTACTTCCACAACACAAAGAAAAATCACTGTAAGTACAGACTCGAATATCGGGGGTCAGAAAGAAATGCTGAAAACTCGATTCGGCGGTACTATCTCAAATCACAATGCATGTAACCAGTCAGAAAAATAACTCACTCTCTAACAAACGCCGTAGCCAAAAATGCCCAAATTTTTCTGCTCTCGAATCAAGAACAACTGCTTTTATCGGCAGAACCAATTTTTTTCATTTGTCGACAGCTGGGATAGGATGTTCAGTAATTTGCATATCAAAATACTTTTATAGCGACTCCTGCGACAGACTTGTTTTTTTTAATTCAAATATTCCATTTTCAGCATGTTATGTGGAATACATGCTCTTTTGTTTGATAAGTAATTTTCTTTTTTGCCACTTTTTCCATCGTAGAATACACGCGACGCGCTGTCGCTTGGTTTGACGAGCTAACTCGCCGTTTTCTTCACTATACTCCCCCCTGATCTCACTATCACAAATCGAACAACCTGGGGCAGCTCTCTTTATCCTGATGCTTCATCATAATGGCACTATTTCCCTTACGCGTGTCAGAGAGTCATCTCCTGAGGAGTCATCAGACGTATCTCGAGTTTCCGGAAGTTCTGTGTCTGTGGAAACATCGGATTCACAGATCTCAATTATTCGATCACTGTCAGGCGATGAATCATCATTGGATTCGCTCAGCGATGTATCAGAATCAACGAAAAGGTGAAAATCTTTTACATGCCGTGGCATCCCGTCAACTAGTACTGTTTGTGGACTTACAATGTCCGTCACGCGACCCACTTGATACCTGAAGGTACACCGGCCATGGGGAGCTTTCACCCATACTCTGTTCCCAACTTTGTATATATCATGATACCTACAATGATCAGGTGGTAATGTTGTAGTAATTCCTTTTACTTTCAGTTGGTAACGGTGAATCATATTGGCAGCTGCATTTGTCGACGATATGTCATCCTTCGGCGTGATATTATGCCAGTATACTGCCTCCATTATCAAACACTGCTTTCTTGCTGCAATTCGCTTTATGCTCCAATATCTTTCCACTATACCATTTCCTGCAGGAACATAGGCTCAGTGAAAACGAAGTTGGACTCCCCAGTCATCCAAGAAATCTTTAAAGGACTTATTGTGACATGCAGTATCATTGTTGGTCAGGATTTCTGATGGTGGGCCTAGTTCAAAAAAATACTTTCTAACAGCCGAATGACGCTTCTTGAGTCTTGTTGAAGCAGGCGTCGCCATATCGCAAATCTACTAGGGCCACAATCCATTAACGTAAGGTAGTGTTGCCCACCGTAATGTGTAATATCCATTCCTAAGTGGGTTCAGATTTCAGTCACACTTAGGTTGCCACGAGGCCAACGACTTGAGGCTGGGTCAATTGACTGGCATTCTTTACATTTTCTGACCACTGCTTTGACGGCCGCCTTGGATGTCGTAGGGAAGACTCGTCTTACAAAATATAGCGTCCGCCTGATGCCAGGGTGTTCACTCTGGCAATGTATGGCACATATCTGATCAGGAGAGGTTTCGTTCAC